GGCTTGTCTCAGCTGCTAGGGTGAGACTTGAGGTACATGCAGTGTGAGTTTTCTTGAAACCCTGAACCGGACCAGAATTTCAGTATTGCCCTGGACCTTGGAGATAGATGGGCAAAACTGGAATGTTACACCTGACCCCTAGACTTGATTATGATACTACACTAGGTGTCGGATTGGGTTGTCTTTAATATGCCAATCAATGAGATCCTTAGAGGGGGTCAAAACCTGAGTATTTTGGGACAATCCGAGAATTCATCCAAGTGGATGATCATAGTGACAGAATCAACCCCTTTGTCGGACAAAGTGAATGATCGATGATGCACTCTCTCTGATGGAAACCTAAACTGCCGGCAGTTGATTTCAGCCGTTGAAATTTGTTTTGCAATATATATATTAGAGAGAGAGAGAGTGCAGCACTGTACCTTGCAGCCGAGGGAGAGGTCCTCTCTTGTCGGGCAGTGTTTGATCATTATGGGCTGAGAGGTTAAGTGTAAGACCATTGAAGGTAATACCTGATGGGCTAATCTTGCATCTGCCCACAGTCCTTGGGTTTTTATAAGGTGGCTTGATCCAATGACCATTTAGTGTAAACGTTGAGCCCATTAAGAGCCCATGGTGATGGACTTAGGGGTTCACTATTTCCTATAGTGAATTCGGTCAGGCCTTATAGCAGAGGCTGGGCTGAACCCATGTGGCTGATGTGTAGATCAATGTTTAGGTCCCACGCCATACAAGGATAGCCAACTAGGCAACAGTTAGAGGTTTAAGTGAACACATAGACTTAATGGGCCTAAAGCCCAATTCGAACTGGCTTAATAAGATTAATTAATTAGGGGCGGTTCTAGGATTTAAATCAGTAGATAGGATAAGGGATTATCCCTATCCACTCAAAGAGTCAAGATCCAAATAAAGATTTGGATCAAGAAACTCCTAATTTGATTAGGAAGCCTGATCTTTATCTGCAGATAAGATATAGGATTATCATTATCTCTTAAAGAGAGTCCAGATCCAAATACAAGATTTGGATTAGGAAACTCCTAATGGGATTAGGAGATGCTCTCTTTAAAGGCTATAAATAAAGGAGCAGGGCAAACCTCCAATACACAATACTCAGTTCGCAAATTACAAAGAGAGAAGAACCTGCAGTTTGACTGCTCCTATCTTTTGCTTTTTCCTACTTTTGCTCCCCTGTCAGTTCGATCTTCACCTGTAGGAGTGACCAAGAAAGGTTCTTCATATTACCTTTTGGTAGAAAAGGTTATCTGAAGTCGTGCTCGCCAACCCTCCATCACATTCTTGCTAAAGAATCATCCTGCTAATTCTATTCCACCTCACACTGTGTCATCTTCAGTGGGAGTAGTCTTTGGTTTTCTCCTTAGGCGTTAACACCTTCGTTGGGAGTTACTATTACTCCGTATCAGGTATATCCCTCTCCTACTTTTTGGTTTCAGATCTGATCCTGTTTGGTTTCAAGATTGATCCTTGAAAATGCAGTTTTCTAAAATAGGGAATGTGATTCCCACATGGGAGAGAAATTTTTGAAATTTCGCTCAACCTTCCTGCAAGGTTCGGCCATCTATATGATGGATCTCTCATCCCTCAACATCAACCTTTTTTTCAAACCATCTCATTCACTCGTTGCCTTACTGATTGAAGCTTGTCGTCATCATTGTTTGTTAACCACTCAATGTTTAAACCTTCAATTTCCTCCTCAGATGCATAATCCTCACCATCACTAATCTCCAAATTCGGCTCCTTGTAGAAAATTTTACTGACCTCATTCTTTGAATATCCATAATCTTCTACCATGATTAACAATGTCCAATAAGATATCTTGTCTACATCTATCTTTTCAAAGAGCTTCACTTTATCCCTAACATACACCAATCTGTCCTTGGTGTGCTCAAATCTTCCTCCAATAAACCATCTCCCCTCCACAGATACATCCACACCCATTTTGATTCCTATTCAAAACTAAATAAATAAAAATGAAAACAACCTAATAAGTGGTTGATGAAGGAACAAAATCAAAATGCAAGAAGAGCTAAATATAACCGATTACATTACCTGTGATGAACTCAAGCTCGAACAAGGGAGACAATGAGAGGAGATGAACAGAGATGAAGAATGCTATCGGAGGAGATAACCAGAGTAGAAGAATATCAGAAAAGTTGTATCAAAAAGTTTAGGATAAAAAATGGTCAAAAAGAGTCTAATTCAAACAATGTGACGTGTGCTTGAAAATGGTCGAGTGTGGAACCCAACGATGAACTCAAATGCTGACTAGGCATGCCATGTCACCATTTTTTAATTTTTTTAATTGATCTCAAATGGCCTAGACATCGTTACGATCGTCATCTACTTCTGCCTACGGTTGGCCTTTTCTACAAGATGTGGGGTAAAAATTGGCCCTTTAAAATCTTTAGAGGCAAAATTGACCATTTTGCAAAGTTCAAGGGTTATTAGAGTCGAAAAAGTGTAAAGTTGATACTTTAGACAATAAACCCTGGAATAAAACAAACCACCCCTTTATATTTTTTTTGCACTTATTAATTTGAATGTGACCCACGAACCGTTGACGGAGTTGAATGATTCAATGATTCAACAAATCGGGTCAGCAATTTTCTGACTTTTTCAACATTTTTTAGTAAAGAACGGTTCAAGACAACCGGACCCAGAACCATGACCATTTTCCAGTTCAAACTTCAAACAGTCCAACCGTCCAATCCGGTCTAGTTTTCAAAACAGTGACAACAACAAAACACACTCTATCGGAATATTTCTATTTTTTTGCAATTTTCTCATTTTTCAATAATAAATACTATGTTGATTCATAGATGAAAAAACAAAAACGGATGATACATAACCATCTTTAACTTAATCTCCCATTTTGTGTGTCCCAAGCAGTTCCCTCCCCATGTTAAAAATAAACAATACCAGAAGCTTGTTACCAATTTCAACATTTTTCTCCATCTACATCACAACTAGATTTCCGAGGGGGAGAGGGGCTGTGCAATAATTTAGACAAAGGAAAACGAAGCAAAAGCATGGGAAAAAAATTACCCACTAATTGCTACAAACTGCAAAAGTAAATTATAATAAGAAACAAAACAGAAAAAAGGATCACAACACCACATACGCCAAGATACAGCATTCAGAACACGTTTAGGTAATCCATCCCTTGGCTGGCTGCTGCTGCTATACAAAAACTTCTTCCCATAACCCACATCTTTAAAACACCACTTTGCTTTTACTGTCTAACAATCCGTCCCAGAAAGCACATCAAAGTCATCATCCTCATCTCCAAGCTTGTATTCGCTGAAGTGATTGACCCTGAACTTCCATTCCCCTTTGACAGGGTCATAGGACACAAACTCTGCTCCTTGGTCTTGGGCCTTCTTCACTAGCATCTCCTTGTACTTTCCTACTCTTGGCCCTTCCGTATACTGCTTTCCTGTCTTCTTGTCGAAGCATTTTATGTTGAGAAGAGTTACTTCAGCAGGTTTGTTAAGGCCTTGTCCAACTGGAGGCTTCTTGCTTTCGTCAAGATAAACAATCACCTCCCGATTGTTAAACTGGACAAGGGACTCAAGCTCAAGCCGTCTTACATCAGTCGCACCCATGAACTTGATGCTGCCATAGCCATGCCTTCCAACAACAAAATCTTTCACCCGGCGGCAGAACCCTGGCTCAGCCCTTTCCTTGGCTGCCAGCTCTTGGATTCGGGGTTCTGTGTAGTAATCAGAATGCCGGAGTTTCGGCATCAATGCCTCAATGTCAGCTCCATGCTCATATACAATTGCAGCCTCACCAGCTCTGTGCCCAGCAAGTGTAATATATGATTCCCCCTTTTCCGTGGAATTATCATGTAATCCATTTGGCTTCTGATTTATTTTGACCTTGACTGCTCCATTTTCAGCAAGATTCCCTGCATCAAGTTTAAAGGCACATAAGAATAAAGATAACACTAATAACCCAAGTTATTTAATAAGCAAAAAATTCCAAGTGGACGGAACATAAAACATTAGAAAGTATAACCATGTATGAGATGAACGTAATATAAGTGCACCAGTAAATACCTCAAAACTCATTAAACTACTTTTCCTCCCCCTAGTTCAATGATTAAAAGGTAAAAAGAATGAGGATGAATTCCCAATTGCAGTATTTCAAGCAAGTTGATCACAACTTAGGAAATAATCAAACGTATAGTAGTAGTAGTAGTAGTAGTAGTAGTAGTAGTAGTAGTAGAAGGGAAGGATGTGCAAGAGAAGATGTACAATAAAATCAGCCCAACCCAAAAGATCCAAAAGCCAAAATGAACCCCTCAAGGCCTCAACAATTACAGAGGCATTGGTCTATCACTATACAAAGAAATTCTTCCCACCCCAGCAGCTTTAGTCAGCCACACAATCCGACTCTCTGAATCCATCTAAAGGAATAAGACATGGATGAAGAGATTTATTATTCTCACTTACAGCACTACCAAACCTCCATAAGCATTCCTTCTAACTGTTCATCCATCTGATCACATTCCTAGAATCTGCTTCCACCACCACCAAAGAGAAACAGAGAGCAACAGCAGCCCTAAGGCCCACTAACAAAGCAAAGATCTCACCTTCAGCAGTATCAGAGATGCAAATAGGCCCACTGAAGGCACAGAACACATCTCCATTAGCCCTTGTAATCTGACCACCAATGCCTGCCTCACCCTGATTGGCTTCTGCAACCACTATCAAACTGGATGATGTAATCAGTAGGAGGCCCGGGAGCAAGACCAACTCTTATTGGCAAGAGCAAAGTAGGAGAGCTCAGAACCTGTATCAGATTTCTATCCAAATCACCAGCTGAAATGCCTCTAGGCATTTTGTTGTCTAACATCTATGAATTGATTGGGAAGAGGGTTCTCCCTTTCAGACCCTCTAAGGAGAAGTCTTGTTTACAAAGATTCTCTTATTATGTTCCTCCCAAATGCCCCACATTACAGCACGAACAACAGCCTTCCCAAAAGCAGTCCCCCTATTGCCTAATCTGCAACTAGGCCCATTGATTGATAAAATCACCAAAAGAATTAGGGGGACCCTATAAAAGCTGTTTCCACCAATGAGATCAAGGAGGAATTTCCAAATACAATGAGCTACCTCACAATTGATGAGGTCCAGCAGGAAAGCCAGCCCGGATGGCGCGACTCAGGCCCAACAGGCCCAAGTCTCAGCCCAGAGCACTACACGCATCACGCGTATGACACCGCCCATCAAATTTATGTATACGCGACATCCACGTCATGAAGAACAATTGTATTCTGTTAAGAGATCGTGCAGGACAATCAGAGTTTGGAAGTCTGTTAGCTGGCCATGCATTATATAGGCCTATTAGCGAGTGCACGAGGCAATGAAGAATTCCATTAACTTTTCTCCCTCTCTCTCCACTTTGCTCTTCCTTACCCGCAAGCCCATTTCAGGAGGGTGAGCTCCCTCAAACCAGCTCTCAGATAGTACAACCGAAGGTAAAGACCTATCAACTGGTATCAGAGCCCAGCTGTGATGCCAACTACCAGGTCTTCATCCGCAGAGAAAGAATCGACCTCATCAAAGGTGAAGTGCAGCAGACCACTAGTGAGTTGAGAGAAATTAAGGAGACCCTCTCCACTCTGGTAGGTCAGTTCGAACGGATGACATTGGCACCAAGACCCACGGAAGTTGAAAGATCCAGCAGCAGTGGCGTCAGGAGAGGTGGAGCGTTTCCGGTCAAGGCTGCCAAAATTGATTTTCCGCTCTACTTAGGTGATGACCCTGTTCCTTGGATCTGTCGGGCTGAACGCAACTTTGAATTTCATGAGACCCCAGCAGACCATAGAGTCTCCATTGCCACCATTCACATGGATGGTAAAGGCTATTATGTGGTACCAATGGTACCGTAAGACCCACCCACAAACCACATGGTTGGATTTGACCAAAGCCTTACGTGTGAGGTTTGGCCCTTCTGGTTATGATAATTTCAATGAGTCCCTCTCCCGGGTGAGACAAACGGGGATAGTGAGGGAATACCAGAATGAATTTGAACGGCTGGCCACCCAGGTTCACGGCTGGCCAAAGGCCGCTCTGGTGGGATGTTTTATAGGAGGCTTAAGTGATGACATCAGAGTCGAAGTAAATACCATGGCCACCTTGATGGCGGCAGTCATGGTTTCAAATGTCACGAAATGTCGCTAATGTCGCCCGACATATGTCAATGTCGAGGCTCACCGACATGAAAATGGATGGTAATATAAAAATTACATTATTTCCTATATTTCGGAAATGTTGACCAAATCGGTCCAAATAACCAAAAAAAAATACAGTTTTTCCTATTATGTCAACTAATGTACATTAATAATATAATATATATAAATTATTCCATTAATAATTTCTATTTAACATTTCAAATAAATTATTTATAAAAAAGAATTAACAAAATATAAAAACAAAAGAATAAATTATTTACTTTATAATATAAAACATAAAATATTTTTCAAGTAATAAAATATTAACTAGTTAGTATTTTTTAAAATATTTATTAAAATCAGAAAATGTTTATTAAATTTTATAATAAATCATATTCTACATTTAATATAGAAAATCAGAATAAATTTATTAAATTTTATATTAAATCATAATTTATTATAAGTTTAG